AACAAACATGTATCTCTATGGCCAATAACTTTTATGATAAACGAAATTCCTTTCCCAAATCGACGATATTCGGAATCTATAATTCTTGGTGGTGTTTTACCAACATCAAATCATCCAACTAATAAATTATTTCGAACTATACTGGGCATGATATATCAAGAATGTGCATAATTAGAAGCTGGTGTTAATTTTTTTATTCCTGGTGTAGATGAACAAAATATTAAATTTTTTATTATTGCGTCATGTACAGATAAACCAGCTCAATCGTTATTGACTAATATGGTCTCCTACAATGTTAATTATAGTTGTGCACAATGCTTTACTGAAGGTACATTAATTATTATTTAGTTTCATTCTTCAAATTCAAAATTTATTGCATTATTTTAGGTGAAAATTTTACTGTCTATTTGAACAATGTACGAAAAAGTACCATCAAAGTATTCCCGTATAGAAATGATGAAGCCAGGAATGATTCCATATGCAATAATCTGGTGATCGAAGCCGAGCAGCATGACTCTCCTGTTAAAGGACATGCTGGTAAGCGTTGTCTAAATATTGTCTAGGATGCCTGGATTTAATCAGATTATTTGGGAGAGTATTTCAGAAGAGAATTTTATATGATTATTTGCTACATATATGTTGTAAAATTTATTTGTTTTAGGTCCATGTCCTTTAACAAAATTAAAATATTATTCTTTTGGTGAATCAATACTCTTTGATTCATTGCATACATTATATTAAGGTGTATTTAAAAAATTTTGTTTGTTGATTTTTTCCAAATCCAAAACTGGTTGTTGACAAAAATGGTCGCTTTATAATCAAACAAAATAGTATTGATCAAGGGTTATCTTCTGTTAAAATTCCTACTACTACAAGTCGAAGATTTCGAACAATAAAACATATTGCACGTTTCAAGACGAACGAATTCAGATCTTTAATGCATCACAGTTCAATAGTATTGTTACAAGCAATGTTACCAAAATATCGTCGATATTTTGCATTGTTATTAGCTGCCGTTAACATTGCTTGTAAAGATGTTATTGACAATTATGATATAATATTAGTCAAAGGATTATTACATCAATATGTGAAAGATTGGCAAAAGATATTTGACCTTCGTCATATATCATCCGATATACATTCACTTTTACATATTCATGAATCAATACAATATCTAGGTCCTTTATATATGTATAGTACTTTTAATTTTAAAAGTTAGTTTGTAGACTACGCGTTGTTATTACATCTAATTCTCTATCATGCATATTATCTCATAATAATGAGAACAAAAGCATAGATAAATGTTGATAAAGATTATTTTAATTTTTTTGCTTGAACGATAAATGTTTTTTTAAATTGAAGGAAAAAAAATCATCATCAATTATTAGCTGATGCGATTATAATTACATTTTGACATCAGTAATAAAAGTAATACAATGAGTTTGGTCACGTTAAATTCATTTAAGATGGTTTAACTCGTTTGTAGCGATTTGAAAAAGAGTTATGTTTTTAGAATATCATGAGTTATCAAAATTCAATGTTAAATGAGCTATAACTACCTAATCATTTATTTCTCACTATTCTTTCATTTTCTACGCATTACACAAAAATTGCTAACAATTCAATAGATTTTATCGTCGGTTGAAAAAGAATTTCTCAGGCTGTATTTATTCTTAATTACTATTTCAGGCTTTGATCATGGCATGGTGTGCATGATCCATGGTATGACACACTATGGACCACAATTAATTTCAAATTTACAATATTATCGACAAGCTATAATTGATGTATTCAAACGTGATTATCCAGAAAAACTATTTTATTTTAATGAAAGTATTCTTAGTCGCAAATTAGTATCAAAATAAGAAATACACGTGGGAAAACAAGTGTCTTTTACAAATTATGTTGATGAGATGAAGCATTTGAACTTAATCACAAAAAGAAAATTCTTGTATCATAATGAATTAGTCATCAAACATATAAAATATAAAACTTTATCATCCATAAAATCTCGTAAATTCGCCGATTGTCGTGTTTCATTTGTATTTGGACGACAAACTAAATTAGGACTTATTAGAGCAATTGTAACCGATCCAAACGATAGTGGAAAAATATTTATTTTATTAGAAGATCTTATTGATGAATTTGTAAGACATCATTTATTACAATTTAAAACGAATAATACAACATTCTCAACAATTCCGAATATTTACATTCGAAAACGTTCTTCGTGTCTTATTCTTAGATCGTCATCGCATATTTTGCATAAACATTCGTACAGATTTCTTAATGATGAAGAAACTATTGAAATAATTGAATATTCAAGCCTTAAAGAGAGCAGTTGAGTGAGATTTGTCGTATTTTTTTCTAACATGTTTTCAATTTTTTTTCAACTGTAATTGATAACAAAGTACTATATATTTGTTCATAAAAATTCCAGTTCATACAAGGAGACTTATAATAACTCGGATTATTTTGTCAACTATTAAGGGCAACAAATTTCTCTCAATTTTTTCCGAAAAAATTAGCCAAGATTATATATTAAAAAGAATTTTTTTCTTTCAAAATAGTCAAGATTATATATTGAATATTTTTTTATTAATAGTAGCAATTTCCTCTCATTTTTTTTTGAAAAAACAATTAGTTCATATCATACATGAAAAATTTTTATCAGCGTTTTATGTATTTCATGATGATACAGAAATTTATTCAGGCTGAGAATGTCATATTTAGATCATCTGGTTCATGCAAGCTTCGTAATCGTCAGTACATATGTTCGAATCTACTGGTCTACATTTATTTTCGATAGGTCCCGAGGGCTCTGGTATTCGTAAGTATATATGTTCGAGCATACTGTTCTGCAATTATATACGATCAGTGTCAACTGCTCGAAAATAAGTGGTGGTAAAAACTTTTTGAAAATTATCAAAAATTTGAGTGGTCGAAATTTCGATTGCTCGGAACCTTGCAAAACATCGACCACTCGATATTTTGCAACTTTCGTTTCACTTAGAACCCATCAAGAAAGGTCGTTCGATGGGTATTGGAATAGTCCATCGGAACCAATCGAACCAAACACAAAAAAGGAGTCGAAAATCATTAATAGTGTGGTCATCAAGTACCGATCGGAATTGATATTTCGATCCCTCGAAATGGAAGATTATAAACTGCAAAATATTTGGAAAAGCAATCCATCGCAGACCCCTGGCCCCATCGGAAAATGGCAATCCTAGGGGTCGATTTGGAATTCCGATGCCAATCGAAAGCTTAAATCGACGCGTCGAAAAGCCTATCGAATGGTTGGTTGGGTAGTCAACTACAAAATTCGTTTATAAACTAGGTAGAAATGTCTTGAATAATATAAAAAAGGTTTCATTGCTTCTGTTCAATCATATTCTATTTATGAATCTTCCACTGTCTTCCAATATTCTTCCCAACCAACTCCCTCATGAGACCATTGTTTTTTATCAGCTGGAAAGAGAGCATCCATTACCATTTGTGCTATTTTTAAATAGGACATTTTATCTTTCTCTTGTGCACTATCAAATTTTTCAGCATAGACCAATGCCCTTATCGTCTTCACCACATGCGTATCTTGATGTGTTAAACATTTATCAATGAGAGGTAGCCATGGATTTTGCACATCTGAATATGAATGTTCTTTCGATGATTGATATTCATTGAGTAAATAATTCACATTTAACTTTGGTCGTCCACGTGCAACATAGTAGAGAAGATCAATTGCAAATTTAGCTTTTAAGAATTTAAATTGATTTTCTGTCTTTTTCAATGAATGAACGAATATATCTATGAATAAACCACTTGTTGTTGCATGCATTAGGAAGAAATCGAGACGAAGTGCTTTTTTCGGTCGTATGACAGCTGTATTCACCAAAACACTAGCTTGTCTAAGATCATCTAAATCACATTTCCACATTTGAGCATATTCTGCAATCAACGGACCACCACCTCGTTCTAATAATTTATCCACTTTAGTTGCGTCATCATTGTAAAAGACCTTGTCGTCAAAACGTTGATCTTTGATAATCAATTCAATAATCTCTAAGGCTGTTTTATTGCCATCTTTGTTTTGGTCATAATTCAAATGTTTTAAGACATCTTTGACATTGACTCGATCAACGGCTGCCATTGCTAACCCTTCAACTGCCATTATTTTCACTTGAAATTCCAAAGCATATCCAAGATGAATAAATGGATGATAGGCACCATTGAATACAAGATCGAGATAATCTTTGTTGAATAAATAATCTTCAATTAAATCTTCAACATTTCCATGGTATTTCTCACTTTCCAATTCTTTTTTAAAGAATTCTAAATAATTACCGTAATAATTTTCATCACCTAAACATTTGTTCACATCAAAGTCTTTATTATCGTGAAGTGGACGTATGGGTTGTTGAACTTGTTTCTGTTGTTCATAGATATGTTCTAATGTGTGAGATGAAGCACCAAGACCTAATGCAGCTAGAAGATAATGCGTAGCATGATTGTGAAAGTGGTGTTCACTATTAAAGAAGATATGATAATGTTCGTGATTATGTTGAAGAAGACGAGAACAGGTTTCGATTGTTTCAGGAGTAATTCCAGGTAAGTGATAGATATATGGATTTTTTATAAATGATTCCGATGAAATAGCATACACATTTGTTGTCTTGGAAGAGTAGTTGCTTGAAAAATTAATACGAGGACAGATGTGAAAAATGGACCACACACTATGGACTATAGAAATATATATACAAGCAAAGATGCTTATCTTCTTCATATCTTTTTGCAGTGAGGACGTATAAATCACAAAGTATCCGTCTTCTCTCTTCTTCGTATTTTTCTACCGTTTAAGCCCACAAAAGTATAAAGAAAATGTCAAATTTATTTTTTTCTTCGTTCTATATTCTTTATCTAGAGGAACATCTCTGCTGCTGTTCGATAGCAAATAAGACGATTGCATGACCTTAAAGGATTTGAATAAAAAAAAATGAAACAAAAACAAACTTTATTTCTGTTTGACGACTTCGTACAGTTTCGATTGTTTGAAATATTATAGCAAAAAAACCGTTAAGTTTTTTATTCCACTTTTCAGAAGCATTTTCAAGTTCTTTATAAAACCGAGAGTTTTCATAAGGTTTTCGTGTTCAGTAGAAGAAACAGCTTTT